CTTCCCTCCGTTTTCTTCCTCTTTCTCTCCCCCTTTTCCCCCTTTTTTTAAGTCGAGCGGGGGAAGGGGAGGGTAGGCATGCAACCCTTACGCCCTCTTGAATCCGCCAACGACCTAATTGTTAACGAATTTGAGTCTTCAAACGTGCAAAAAAAGGAGGATGACCTTCGCGACCTTATCCACTCGCTAAAACTCGCAAAATCAATTGATAAGTATCTCACTCCGCATCCATCGCAACGTTAACAGCGTTACGGCGTGTGCTGTATACTTTCCCTTTCGGCGTCAAGCTTTTCACCTCCCGAGCGCCGGATCAATGAATGGAGCCGCGAGATTGAATTTTGACGGGCCGTCACACAATGGATCGAGTCAATGGAGGATTTGAACACGGAAATTTGATTGTTTCATCTGAGAGTGCGTAATAAGCTGAGTTCGCAGTATTTTTCATAATTTTTTTTGGCATGGGGAATTGGAGAAAAATTGATTTAAAAGTGAGAAAATATGCCGTTTTATGACGTCATCTGACGATATTCCCCATTTAAACGCGGGTATTTTAGCAGATTTTGTTATTTTACCATATTTTCTCCGATAATTGCTCAATTTAGAAACCAAAGATTATCCTCGTGCTCAGTTTTCCCGGTAGTATCATTTTAAAGAAGAAAGTTACAACATTTCAGACACCTGCAAATTCTCTATTGGGGATTTCGGACAAAATTAGGAAACTTTAAAAGCTCATAACTCCGTTCATACAAAACTTTGAGGTTTTAAAAGTGGTTCCACTGGTTCTCTCGAGAAATTTTTTGCAAGAAGTACCCCTCAAACTTCAAAATGTGACGAATTAAAGATCAAAATTTGCAATTTTAGTTAAGCATGCCATGTCCGACTTCTCTGATTGACTCGGACCACTGTGCGCCAGGGCAGGTCCATTGACAGTTCACTTCCACTTTGACTCAATTTTAATCGGGCGGGGACAGGACCGCCGCGAAGGCAGGAGGGGGGGGGGGGNGGGGGACGGAGGAGGACGTTGATGCAATTGTTTTAATCGAGTTGAACTTTGTCGCTCAGATGAGCATAGATTAAAATCATCAATAACTGCACCTGAAGTTGAGGTTAATTATTATAATAATCAAGAGGTCTGTGTTTCGACTCGGATGGCATGGCGGGAGGCCTACGCACCTTGGTCTAGGCGGTCTTCGACCGGTCGATCTCCGCGTTGCCGTGTGGGGAGTATTAATGCCGGTTTCACGAACCAAAAACCTATGAAGCATTTTTCATAAGATAAATTGCTATATTTTGCAGTGTTCCCATCCCATGTCCGTCAAAAGTTCCGGGATTCGGAACTTTTTTGTTCCAATTTCTCCAACTCCGAACGTTCAAAGTTCCAGGATTCTATTTATGTTTTTAAAAAAGTTCCGAGAAAGTTCACAAAAATGCAAAAGATCTAGAACATCTCGGGAATTTCAAAAGTTCCGAGAAAATTCAAGAAAATCTTAAAAGTTCCAGAATTCGGTGCTAGTTCTGGGAAATGGGCGCACTGATATTTTGAGATTAAGTTGCGATTTTTTGGTGATTAAATCGCTAGGATCATCAACATATGAGCGATTATCCTCGATCTCGTCGCAATTTTATCTCTGTAAAATCGCGTTCGATAAAATCGAAATTTCATCACAATCTGTTCGATAAAATTGCGATACATCGTCGTCGATAGAATTGCCATTTTATTGCAAATTTGTGCGATTAAATTGCTTTTTTTATCTGCTATTAATGCAATAAATCGATGTCAGTGAAATCGCGATACTTTCTCCGGTCAAATCACAACTAATCGCATAAACACTGAGGCTACTTGGGAATGCATTATTTTACTTCTCGTTTTAGATAAACAAGGGGTGCCGCTAACATCCGATGGATGCTTTGCATCCGTAGGGCCGCCTTTGAATCAAAAATAACATTTTAGAGTCTTAACTCAAAAACTTCGAGTAGGCAGACACCTCGTGTACAGAGATTATTACCATTTTATGAGCCAAAAATCATGGAGGTCGGCTTGATCGATAGTATAATCGATAGCGGCCCCATAATATTCACACGATCTCTGTTGATGACTTTGTTTCGTTCACGATAACTTTTGTCGTGTAACTTTTGTAACAGCGTTAGCTTATTCAAATCTTTTAATGTTGTCTCTTCTGATCGCATGAGGGCTGCGTTTGAATTCAGGTTCAATCACATTACCGTTTACCAATAAGCAGTCATTAACCCTCTAAAAACGCCATCTCTTGCTGTTTTCGACTCAATTGTTTTTTTTTTTTTATTTCCTATTAATGATCTTGCTTTCCATACGCTGACTTTTTATGCTAATTAGAAAGCCAAATTTACTATCGTCATAGAAGTCACATGACACAAGATAATACCACTTCACCTTAATATCTTAACACCATCTTATCACCTTCTTCATCTTAAAATTTCAAGATGATACCACTTTTCGACTGTTCGAGAGACTAGATTTCCCACACCGAAATTCTGTCGGCAGACTGCAAATCGACGGGGTAGTCGGCAATCACATAATTCGGCTTGCGACGTCGCAGACTTTCTGTCACACTTTATTTTTTAAATGGAAAACTATTCAACGGCAACTCTTTAAAACTGCCGTGATTTTTCCTCTCATGTGCGAGGAAAATTCTGCAAAATCTTCAAGGAATGATGTCAATTCGTTCTCCTTTAAAAAATAGCGAAGAAGTGGAGATTTTCAGACACCACAAACGAGATATCGACGGTGAAACTACCAAACCACGTATCTCGTTTGCGGTGTTTAAAAATCTACGCTCACATTATATTTTTTTGAAGTAGACCAAATCAATATCATTCCTTGAAATTTTCACGGAATTTTCTCCGCACGAAAAGGAAAAATCACAGAAATTTTCAAGACTGGACGTTAAGTAGTTTTTCATTTAAAAAATAAAGTATGACAGGAAGTCTGCGACGTCGCAAACCGAGATACGTGGTTTGGTAGTTTCACCATCGGTATGTGATTGCGGACTTACGCCGCGCCGTCGAAATGTATTGGAGTCACCTCTCCATATTTGGTAAATGGAAATCACGTATGTGTTGAACGAGCGTGACATTTACGGTGATACCACTATTCGACCACGGCGGAGCTCGGATTGCCTATAACAAACATTGGAGGCGATCTGACATGGCGTTAAAGTCACCTATTCGTCCGATAAAAAGCTATTCTTTGTTTTTTTTCCGACTAAACGTGCCGTTTCACGATGATATCACTATTTGCAATGATTGAATGATTAGCTTTTCCTGGGTATTCTGGATTTCGGAACGTTTTTAAAAAAATTTCCCTAAACGTCAATTCACACTATGGTACACGTAAAAAAATGGATTGCTGATTTTGCAATTAAATTGTTAAAAATGTCTGGCATGTTTCAAATATACATTTTACAACAGTGGAAAGCTAATTTAACCACGAGGGTGGTTAAACTAGCATTTTTTTTATTGTAGAATCTACATTGAAACACGCAAGACGCTTTTTTAACTACAAAATTGTTAAATGAACAATTTCATTTTTTTCATACACGTCAGGTATTTGTTCATGAGATTTGCTTGTTACACTTTTTTGTAAAAAAACTCCGAGAGTTTGTTCTCGGTGAATATCGGGAATAATTTTGTCTGCACTTTCGAAGTTGATCTGAGTGTTTTCCAATCAAATCGTGTGTACAAGTAAATGTTGTACCTGTGAAGTGGCATTTGGACATTTTTGAAAAATTCCTGGAATGCAGATTCTATCCATTGGTTAGTATACTCGTTGGCGGTTGGACCGCTCGTTCTAGAAAGTTTTGTAGGGCCACGACTGGAAACTTTTTGTGCTTGAATGCACCTGTGGATGAGGTCTAAATTATATCATTCTTGCACATATGCCTTAACCTCAAAATTTGACTTCAGAATGACACTAACAAACCATTATATTATCACCAATGAGGGTGAAATAAATGAAATTCATACTTTTTTGTGTACGTTCTCGCAATTTATCCTCATGACATTTTGGTAATTAAGTATAAAAATAAGAGAGAGACAGACATAAATTTATAATACTTGCTACAATTATCTACTACCTGCATCTTCACAAGGAATAATCTCGAGTATTGGAAAAAATGACATAAACATGAAAAAGGTAATGCCTGTCATCAAATTGTTCCATGAGAGATTCAATGTAAGAAAAAATTGACGAGTCAACATTGGTAAATTATTGCGTTTTCTTCGATTATTTGATGAAAAGTTCTGCACTATCACTCTTTTTTCACAAAAGTTACTCGCAGATCTGAAGCCTCGCAAACGGAGATACGTGGTTTCTCACTTCAGCCATCAATATTGAGTTTTTTTTTTTGTTTTTAGAAAAAAAAAACATGTAAAAAACAAGTCAATAAATCCAAAAATTAGTCAAATTTAATTATGTTTATTAACTTTACAACTCGCTGGTTACTTACTGGATGACGAAAAATTTCACCATGGATGAAACAGTATGTGTTCACAGTAAGGAACTTAAGGGGTAAATGTAAACAACAAGTCAATAAAGCCAAAATTAGTCAAATTTGATTATGTTTTTTTAACTTTACATCTCGATGGTAACTCACTGGAGGTAGAGAATGACGGAAAATTTCACCATGAATGAAACAGTATGTGCGCACAGTAAGGAACTTATAGGGAAAATGTAAAAAAAAAAAAAAAAAAACAAATCAATAAGGCCAAAAATGAATCAAATTTAACTACGTTTATTAACTTTACATCTCGCTGGTTACTCACTAGAAGTAGAAGATGACGGAAAATTTCACCATGAATGAAACAGTATGTGCGTGTGCGCATAGTAAGGAACTTGCGGGGAAAATGAGCGGATTTCGACTTGGCAAGGGCGGGGATCCTGTCGAGGAAGAGGTTGTGACATAAGCCGAGCTTGCCGCCGCGGTCCGCCACCACCACTTAATATTTTTTATCCTCTCATTTTTTGCTATTTAGTGCATACCCTTGAGACCGAAGAACACCATCTCGGACATGATTTCAATGTTATCCCGTATAAATACTCCGGCCGGTCGCGGCAATTCTTCACTTGATCATTCCAGTTTGTTCAACACCCATTACACCTAGCACAATGGCTTTCAAAGTGAGTACTCGGATTAACGTTTGTGGTTTGCGGTTGTGGTTTTTCGGTGGTCCGCTCGGCGGGCGTCAGTGCTGCGTTTCGCGCCCCTTTTCGGATCCCGTCCAGGGTGGCAAAATTTCAGGCGCAATCAAATCTCGGAATTTTCCGTGAAATATTTCGTGAAATTTCGGAAATTTTTGAAAGATATTGACAAAGACCGGTTCCTCTTCATGTAAAAATTGTGAGTTTCCTCGATTTTAGTGTGTTGAAGTGCGGATTGCATATACTCTAGCCCCTGAAAAATATGAAATATTTCCCAGACTCGTGAACGTTCATGAAATATTTCACTGAAATTTCCGATCTTTTATTTCTTTCTTACGTTTCATGCCACCCTGATCTAAGCTCGGAAAGTTTGATATTTGTTGATGAAATTTTATCGCTCGTGTTTCGGTGTTTTGCGATGTATCTTACCGCTTGCGGGATTTTTTTTAGCATTAAGTGAAAAGTAAATTGAAATTCAATTTGATAAATGAGTAGATATGTCATTAACCTTTAATATGAAAGTGACTCGCTCGATTTCGCAATATAGTTAGGTATTTCCCTTTTGCCTGAAAAAATAAGTGAAATGCTGGACATCGCTAATACATTGATCTCAAAAATGCTAGTACATCTAACTAAATAATTTCTGTTGCCAACATACAAAAAACTTTAAAAAAAAGCCGGGAAAAGAGTTCTCGAATGTTAAAAAATATTGAGATTCAAGATATGCCTTTTATTCCTTTTAAAAATAACCGGGAAGAACAATTCTTTTCCAAAATGTGTTTCTTTTTACAAAATTTAAAAGTTTTTGACGAGATCCTGCAGAGTGCGCAATGAAATCAACATCAAATGAGTCTCAGGCATGTAAAATGACGTACTGATTTTCCTCAAGAAGATTCAAATTATAATGAAATACAAGTAAATTTTTAACAATAATTTTTTGCATAGACAGCCTTCATGTATCCAATCAAGAAAAAAGTTGTCCAACTTGAACATAAAATAATGTTTTCTATTTATCTATTTATCGTTTTTTATTCTAATTTTTGAGCGTCCCTAAGTTTTACGTTGAGGGTTCGTCATCCATCATTGGCTTAATAATATTACTGTCCATGTTTTGAAATAACATATGATGTCCCTTTATTGATTCTAATAGCATAGTTTCTTAATGAGAATTTGGATTGCTCCACTTTAAGCACCTAGGGAGAGGTTGGTAGAAATTATGTAAATATTTCCTATAGGGTGTACGTGCCCCCAAAAATTTTATCACCGGTAGGTATATGGTTCTCATGCCAGAAAACAATAAATCAAGCATTTTAAATTCAGGAGAGATTTATTTCCCTGTAATACTCTTTATTGTAACAAGATCAGACGAGAACTTCCTCCCTGTAAGAGAAATTATTCACAAGCCATCTTGATTAATGTTTGCTCTTTCGTGCGGGTAATCTTGTTGCCAAAGTAACCGTGCTTCAGCACCGTGAAACACCTAAATCTCAATTTACGCGAGACAAAGTTTCCCTAATTCGAGAAAAAGTATTAGATTTATATGAAATTATCTTGCTTTAAACGCACCGTGTTATATGCATTCTGCATTACGCAAAGTTTTTAGATAGCAATATTTAAAGGAATCACGCGAAAAATATAAGAGATGTTTCTTTTGAATTACGAGGATAAAAAACAAATATCTCAGTATTTTTAAAGCGCACTAAGCACTTTTAGATAGCATTAAACATAAAAATTAACAGAAAAAATTCCTATAAAACTCAAGATTTCGATCAAAATTTCATGATTAGGTCGACAGTAAAAGTAATCAAGTACAAATTGTAACATGATTTGTCCTTTTTAATCGTATTTTTTGAGCGTGTCGTAAATTAATCTGAGACCCACTTGGTGAAGAATAAATATGACGGTTCGGGGTGATCGCAGTGTCTGAAAATTAAATTTATCCTTTATGCATGTATACTTTATCACTGAAAGTAGAAGAACAGAGAGTTTGGAGATCAGACTTTTCCGGAAGCTTGCAGCGCTACGGAGCAGTAACTCGCTTAGTTCCCTTTTGTCTTGAAAGTTTCGAGTGGATTACTTTTACGTACAGGACAGTGGCGTGGCGTGCTTTGCGATATATCGATGGTTATGCCATTTGAACCTATGGAAAAGGATCGATAAACAGGGTGTTCGCAGCGAACACCTTTATAATCGATTCTTTACCATAGGTTTAAATGGCATAGCAATCGATACATCGCAATTCACTCCACGCCACTGCTACAGGAACATTAGACGGAGTTCAAAGTTGTTAAATTGCTCATGTCGGCGGTCGAAAATAAATAATTATTTGAAACGCTTTTCCATGCATAAATTGACTCTCAAGCCTTTAAAGTTCACGCGTCTAACGTAACACAAGTCTGCACAATACGTGCTGTAATTTATAAATTAGGAATTGTAGGCAGAAAACGGGAAAGCTCAATTAAAGCTCAGAGGTTAAAAGTACAGCCCTTTAGCTTTTTAAAGTTTATCTTCCTGAGAAATTAGTCTTGGAAAAACAATAACGCCTTCATTTTCAAATCTAGTCCGTGCTTTGCTATATATACCGATTGATCTGCCATTTTAACCTCCGTAAAGGGATCGATAAACAGGGTGTTCGCGACGAACACCTTAATAATCGATTCTTTACCACAGCTTCGAATGGGTAAATATTGATAATCGATCATTTCGCGCCTCACCACTGATCTCGTTCACAGCGTATGAACTTGGCGTCAGGAGCGTTTTATTCAAGAATAAATATTTTAATCGTTTCTGTAAAGGATTAGATAATATGTGCAACGTATTGATATTTGGACCGCGTTTAGCAGAAATGAGCCAAGTCACATCAGCTATCGCCATTTGACTGGGCAATTTTAATTTTTCACGCAAGAGAACGTTTTTGCGGATCCCTCCGAAAATTTTAAGTCATTTGCTTCGCACCACACAAAAAATTCACTGAAATTTGCCCAACGGTTTTCATGTTAAAGTTGCAACTGCCCAATTAAATCTGGCAATATCTGATGTGGCTTGGTTCCTTTTTGCTTAACGCGGTCAAGACCATCACACTGAAAAAAAATTCACGGCGTTTTTACGAAGGTCCGTTGGTACCATTACCATGTCACTTTTCTTTACTAATTATTGGTAATTTTACCAAGACAGACTGGTAAGCTTACCTATAAACCTGTATTTTTATTGTTTTTCTAGGTAAGAATACCACTTTTATTGGTAATCAATTCCCGGTAACTTTGCCATTTTATCTCGATAATACTACCACAGTCAATAAAAAATATTGGCGTTTTTACGAAGGTCCAGTAAAATTACCGAGAGAGTTCAATCATTTTACCGAGATTTTTCAGTAAAATTACCAATTCCATAAATGGTAATTTTACCAAGAAAAAACTGGGATCAAATAGAACCCTGAATTCTTGGTAATTTTACCCTTTCCTTGGTAAATACACCGAGATTTTTTTTTCAGTGCAATGATTCTTCACAAAAAAAGTTTTAGTCTACATGAAGGGGTGGTTATCGCTTCAACGGAAACATTTCGCTAGATTCTACCTGACAAATTCGACAACTCGGCAAGAATAACCGGCGTTATTTTAACGGGGCTCAGAGTTTTGTTTGAACTCGTTCGGGTAATCATCCTAGCAATTAATTAATCTTCCTGTCGCTCAAATTCCGAGCGGCGGAGCGTCTCCCCGAAGATGCGAAAGGGTTACGACCGAGCGAGCGAGGGGGTTTCAAAGACTCCTCGCCGAAAGGCTCCTGACGTTAAGGAGCTGAACTGTCGGTATCGACGAATTCGCCTGCTCTCGGGAGCGTGGCAAAATATGATGGGATTTGCTCGGGAACAAGGTCGGGAACACAACCGTGCCAGGGGAAAACGTCGTAAGAGCAATTCAATGTTGCCGAATGTGCCCAAATGGACTGTGGTTTACCAAGTAAATTGTAAAAAAATGTCCAACACTGGAAAAAAAACACACTGGATCTAGAGTCCAGACTCTTGAAAACATTGACAACGAAAAATACTCTTGATTCAATCGATTTTTCCTTAAATCAAAAGGAAATCCGCTCAAATTAAGAGGCTTGGTTCTTGATTTAAGCAAAAATCCGACTGAATCCAGAGTATTTTTTCTTGTCGATGTTTTTAAGAGTTTGGACTCTAGATCCAATGTGTTTTTTTTTTTTCCAGTGAACATTTCGTGAGCCCTGGCTTTCGTTGATCACGCAGAACGCTAAGGCTCGTGAGCTTTTGGACTTATGCCCGTCTAATAGAAAACGATTCAATTTCATCTAAAGTATCTGAAAATCTTCATAACTTCACTGAAAAATATTTATTTCACACGGAAAAAAATGATATTGCTGATTTAACGAATCCGTAGTTAAAAAAGTGTTCAACATGTTCAAATGTATATTTTACAATAGTGGAAAGCTATTTCAACCACGAGGGTGGTTAAATTAGCATTTTTTAAGTGTAAAATCTTATTAAAACATGTCGGACACTTTTTTAACGACAAAATTGTTGAATAAGCAATATAATTTTTTCCTGGGGAAACATATATTTTTAAGTGAAGTCATGACACTCTTCATTGAGATTTTCAGATACTTTAGATGTCATTGAATCGGTTTGTATTAGACGGGTATAAGTCCAAAAACTCGTGAGCCCTAACGTCCTGCGTGATCAACGAAAGCCAGGGCTCATGAAATTTTCGACTTACGCCCGTCTAGCAGAAATCGATCCAATTTCGAACAATACTCGCCTGATAATCTAAGTTAAAGTATTCGAAAGTTTCCTAGTAACTTGACCCTCACCCCTCAAACCTCGCTAACGCACATTTTAAAGAAATTTCAGCACAGATTTTAGACAAATTTCAACACAAATTTTTAACAAATTTTAGCATAAATTCTTTGAGCCAAAAAAGCATCTCTCTTTTTTTTCTTTTATTTAAGAAGGGATTCTCTCC